ACAGGGATCATGTGGGAAGGATGGGGTCATTTAGGAGGGGATGGGGGCAATGCGGTGGAACGGGGTGTGTCGGTTTGGGAGGGGTGTGGGCGAGGTGTGGGGACACTGTTGGGGTTGGGGACGCTGTTGGGGACACTGTTAGGTTAGGGGCGCCGTGGAATTGGGGATGCCAGGATTGGGGACACTGTGGTGATGGGGATGCTGTGGGGTCGGGGACGCTGTTAGGTCAGGGACGTTGCTGGGGTTGTGGACACTGTGGGGCTGGGGACCCTGTTGAGTTGGAGACAGTATTGGAGTGGGGACGCTGTGGGGTTAGGGACATTACTGGGTTAGGGATGCTGTGGGCTTGGGGACAGTGTTGGGATTGGAGACGCTGTGGGGTTGAGGATGCCAGGGTTGGGGACAGGATTGGGTTGGGGACGCTGTGGGATTGGGGACACTGGGGATGGAGATGCCAGGTTTGAGGAGACTGTGGGGCTGGGGACAGTGGGGCTGGGGATGTTACTGGGGTTAGAGATGCTGTGGGTAGTATGGGAGTTGGGTAGTATGGGAGTTGGAGATGCTGTGGACTTGGGGTCACTACTGAGTTTGAGGATGGCACTGGGTTGGGAACACTGTTAGGTTAGGGATGGTACTGGCGTTGGGGATGCTGTGGGGTTGGGGATGCCGTGGTTGGGGACAGTATTGGACTGGGGATGCTGTGGGGTTGGGGCTGTGGTGGTCGGGGCGCGGTGCCCCCCAGCAGTGCCATCCCACAGTGTGTGCAGGGACGCTGAACGGGCTGAGTGTGACAGGCGATGCGCAGCATCAGTACCGAACGCTGCACAAAATGTACAACAACTGCGAGATCGTCATGGGCAACCTGGAGATCGTCCTCATTGACCACACGCAGGACCTCTCCTTCCTACAGGTGTGGGGGGGGACAACCCACACCCACCCACCCACCCACCATCCGCTGTGGGGCCGTGGGGGTGACGCATCCCCATCGCATCCCCATCCCATCCCCATCCCATCCCCATCCCATCCCCATTGCATCCCCATCGCATCCCCGCAGACCATCCGGGAGGTGACGGGTTACATCCTGATTGCCATGAACGTTTTCTCCACGCTGCCTCTGCGCAACCTGCGCGTCATCCGCGGGACGCAGTTCTATGAGGAGAAGTACGCGCTCTTCGTGCTGCTCAACTACAACCCCAACGCCACGCACGCGCTGCGCCAGCTCGGCCTCAACCGCCTCACAGGTGGGGCCGTGTCCCTGGCGTCCCCACTTGGTGCCACCCCTCCCCTCCCCCCCCCCAAAGGTCCCTGTCCTGCGGTGGGGCTGCGCCCCACGGTGCCATCCGGGTGTGCCCCATGGTTCCCATCCTGGAGCAATGCCGCTCCCAGTGCCCTGTGGTCCCCCATCCCAGTGATCCCCATCCCATAGCAGTGCCATCCCTGTTTTACCCCACTGTCCCTATCCCAGAGCAGTGCCGTGTCCCCATTGTCCCCATCCCTGTGGTCCCCCATCCCAGAGCAGTGCCATCCCCCTGTACCCCACTGTCCCCATCCCAAGGTGATGTTGTGCCCCATGGTCGCCCCCATCCTGGAGCAGTGCCATTCCCCACTGTCCCCTCCCACTATGATGCCACCCCGCATTCCACGGTCCCCATGCAGTGACATTTTCCCCCTTCTGCCCACCCCAGGGCTCTGCCATGCCTGTGCTCCATTTTCCCTATCCCAGAGTGGTGCCGTGTCCCCATGGTGCCCCCATAACGAAGCAGTGCCATCCTCCATGCCCCCCCCCCCCCATCCAGTGGTGCCATCCCTTAGGGCCAGGGAGGGGGCACAGCCCAACGCCCCCCGCTCTGCTCCCCACAGAGATCCTGGCGGGCGGTGTTTACATTGAGAAGAACGAGCAGCTGTGCCACGTGGACACCGTGGAGTGGAGGGACATCATGCGGGACCCCCGGCTGGAGCCCGTGGTGGGGGACAACGGCAGAGCGTGTGCGTGGGGCATCGCACCCCCACCGACCCCTCACCCCATACAGACCCCACGCTGACCCTATAGACCCCACGCTGACTCCACACCCCATGCAGATCCCACGCTGACCCCCCTTCCTCACATTGACCCCATACAGCCCACACTGACCCTACACAGACTCCACACTGACCCACACCCCACAGTGACCCCACACCCCTCACTGACCCCCTCACCCCATACAGATCCCACGCTGACCCCACAGTGACCCCCATCCCCCCACTGACCTCACGTTGACCCCACTGACCCCACACTGACCCCTCACCCCACACAGACCCAACCCTAACCCTAACCACCCCCCTCTGACCCCACTGTGCTCTGTCCCACAGGCGCCCCGTGCCACGAGAGCTGCGGAGGGCACTGCTGGGGGCCGGGACCCGATGATTGCCAGCAGTGTGGGTACCGGGGGGGGCGTAGGGGGAGTTTATGGGGTGCTGCCCCCCCCACACCCCACTCACCCCCCTTTCCCCGCAGTGACGAAGACCATCTGTGCCCCGCAGTGCAACGGGCGCTGCTTCGGGCGGGCGCCCAACGAGTGCTGCCATGAGGAGTGTGCGGGGGGCTGCACCGGTCCCCTCCAGACCCACTGCTTCGTATGTAACCCCCCCCACTGCCCAGCCGTCCCTCCTTCTGTTTGTCCATCCTCTGTGTCAGTCTGTCTGTCTGCCCCTCTGTGGGGTGGGGATCTTGTCCCTGTGCCACCCGCCCTTCTCTCCATCCCCCAGGTATTCATGGGGCGATGCTGGGGGAGGGCTGTCTGTCCACCCATCCCCACCGTGTGTCCGTCTGTCCATCCAGCCACCCTGCATGTCTGTCTGTCCGTGGATTGGGAGGGGGGGGTGGGGGAGGGTCTTCATCTTTGGATTCCCAGGGTGGGTGTGGGGTTGGGGGTGGGGGGGGTCTGTTTGTGTGTCCGTCCTTCTGTCCATCTCTGGGGACGGCTCCCACCTGTGCACTGAGGGGTGGACGCGGGGCAGTGCTGTGTGGGCTGGGCGGTGTCTGTCTGTCCCTCTATCCGTCCCTTTGTCTGTCCCTCTGCCCATCCCTTTGTCCATCTATCTGTTTGTCCTTCCTCCTGTCCGTTCTGTCCATCCTTCTATCACTCCATCCCTCTGTCCATCCCTCTGTCCATCTGTCTGTCCCTTTGTCCTTTCTTCTACCTAAACCTCTGTCTCTCCATCCCTCTGCCCATCTACCTGTCTGTCTGTCCTTCCTCCTGTCTGTTCTGTCCATCTTTCTATCACCCAGTCCATTCAGCTGTCCATCCACCTGTCTATCCCTTTGTCCTTCCTTCTATCCATTCTACCCATCCCTCCGTCCCTCTCCATCCCTGTTTCCCCCTCCGTCTGTCCGTCCGCCCACCCAACACCCCCTGCCCCCCCAGGCGTGCCGACACTTCAATGACAGCGGTGCCTGCGTCCCGCTGTGCCCGCAGCCGCTCATCTACAACAAGCTGACCTTCCAGCTGGAGCCCAACCCCGACACCAAGTACCAGTATGGCAGCGTCTGCGTGCGGAGCTGCCCCCGTGAGCAGGGCGGGGGATGGGGGGGGGGGGGGGGGGGGGGGGGGGGGGGGGGGGGGGTCAGGGGGAGGCTATGGGGGGGGGTCTGAGTGAGCCCCCGACTCCCCCCATAGATAACTTCGTGGTGGATCAGAGCTCGTGCGTGCGCGCCTGCCCCAGCAACAAGATGGAAGTGGAGAAGAACGGGCTGAAGATGTGCGAGCCGTGCGCCGGGCTGTGCCCCAAAGGTGTGGGGGTGTGTGGGGCTGGGTTGGGGTTGGGGGGGGTAGGATGCACTGTCATCACGTGTGCCCCCCCCCTTAATGCAGCCTGTGAGGGCACTGGGGCTGGCAGCCATTACCAAACGGTGGATTCCAGCAACATCGACAGCTTTGTGAACTGCACCAAGATCCTGGGCAACCTGGACTTCCTCATCACCGGCCTGGAGGGGTGAGCTGGGGGTGTGTGTGTGTGTGTGGGGGGGCTTTGTGGTCCCAGCCCCCCCCTACTGACAGCCGTGGTCCTGCAGGGACCCCTGGCGCAACATCTCGGCGCTGGACCCTGAGAAGCTGAACGTGTTCCGCACGGTGCGGGAGATCACAGGTAGGAGTGGAGCCGGGGGTGGGGTGCTGGGACCCCCCC